CGTAAGTGGTTGAACTCAGAGTGACCAGTGTTCCTGATGTGGGTTCATTTGTGTGTTAGGAAACATGTTGTTGGGAAAACAGTCAGTGGACGAAGTAGTTTAGTCCTGACAAGTAATCCGTGGGTGTTGAAGGAACTACAGTGTGTTAATGTGAATCCAGAAAACCATATTGTGCTGTAGAGTCCGCATTGGTTTGATGTAGTTAGGCATCTGCTAGTTTTCTTCTTAAATTCTTTTTAAATGGTGCCCTGTTCTCAAGTAGGGAACGCTTTGCTAGTAACACAAACAATTACATTGTCTTTTTCTTTAACACAAGTTTTATGAGGTGAGGACTTTTCTCTGCCATTGTTTTGAAGGATGAACTGTGTTTTGTTTTAAATTGGCGATCCTGATCTGAGATTGCAAAAAGAAATATTTAGATGGAAAATACATCTTGTGCTTCCTCATCAAATTCTGGTCTGCAGTACAGCGTAAATGCAGGAAACTCTTGGAGTCAGTGTTTGGATGAATCTTGTGTGTATTGATGTGTGGAAAAGTCAACATTAAATGAATGAAGGGCTTCTGAGAAGCCCATTACGACAACTTATAATGGAAACTGTAGTTCCCATTAGAGACTGATTTAAGGAGCTTTGGTTCTTCACTAAAGCATGAAGGGTACCGTGTGGTTGTTCTAGTTACTCTTCTCTCATTGTTGAGACAAGATATCTGACACTCTCAGTTCAAAGGAGGGAAAGTTTATTTGGCTCAGTTTGTAGAAGTTTCAGTCCATAATCAGCTGGCTCCAAGGTAGGATGGCATGGCAGACAGGCATCGCAGAGGAGAAACAATTCGTGGTGGGCAGCAGGTAGCAAAGCAAGCAAGGAACCAGACAAGTTCCTTTCTGTCCTTTATATTGTGTCCAGGGTACTGGGATTAGGGCAGTGCCAAACCAATCAGTGGACTGATTTAGTAATCACCCACACTTAATCCTAGCATTTCATCATGAACCAGTCACACACTTTAGATTCAGTCACCTCTGAAAAATCACCCCCATGACTGCATGAAGTTTTGGGGCCACATCTAGACACAGGCCGTAACAGTGGTGTTCCGCGCAGATCGTGTTTGTAGCATGCACTGCCTAGCTCATTCTGGTTAATCTGCTAGTGTGTTTAGAGCTGAAAGGACTGCATCTTTCTTGTTTATGAAATTTTAAAAATTCACAGAAGCTTAAAAGACACCAATGATTAGCATATTTTTTTACTTTTCTAATAGAATATTGAGAAATAATAAAGTCTCAGTTCTAAACAGACACAGCTGCACCACATGTCAGTTCTTGGATCATTTAATCCTTTTCTTTTTTGCTTATTTCCATCAATATTTTCCTACTGGAATCAAATGTTAGCTTCTGGCTCAGCTGGCAATATAAAAAATTTCCAATTAGATTGTTACAACTTCATTTTTATTCATGAGGAGGAACTTAATAAGCAGGGATCATTACATATCTGTGGCATGTAGGAGAGGAACTTTAAAATAAACCACCTGGCCACAGCGGGGACGGAGGCTGGAATCCTAATCTTTCCAGAGTCTGAGCCAGGCCAGTATGAGTCTACACCTCTCTACTTCAAGTAATTCTTAACTTGGGAGGAATCCTTGGATTTATGTTGGTATATGGTGTAATTGACTTTATTTCCAATTCTGGATTAATTTAGCTCCTTGCTTAGCATTTGTGTACATGTTCTACACATTTTGGTGCCAGGTTTTAAGGGCAGTATGGGGAAATGTGAATCGGGGTGGTGTTTGATTGGAAGGCAACTCCAGACTTAGGCTTTGGAGCTGAGCAGGCCAAGCAAAGTGTCCTTGTCACCCAGAGTATGATCGGGTGCCTCACTGTATCTGAGAGGTGACCCATAAGCTAAGTTCCCGAAAAGGAGGGGAAGGGGCACCCAAGTGGTTGGGAAAGATGGAAAGCACAATCAGGCCTTGCCCTAGATCTCGTCAGGAGGGGGAGAACGAAGTGACCTCAAGCTTGGGAAAAGCTAAGGATTAAGGTGCAGCGCTGAGGAGGATCCCAGTGGGTTCAGCCCACACTGAGTCCAGGCTTGTGAGAGTTGGACACTCAGCCACCATCTTTTCTTTTCCTTCTTTCTTTCATTACCCAAATACTTGAATGAGTATGAACTACCTCAACTCGTAGCAGGACTTCCACTCCCACTACTCCACCAAAACAGCCCTGTTGGATGTCCTCAAGGACTCCTCTTGTAAAGGCCAGTTACATTTGACTTAACCTCAGAATGAATGCTGCTGTGGCTTCCAAAGTACTTTATCTAGCTCCTCTCCAATTGCTTTCTGGTTCCAGAGGTCATTGAAGGTCACAGCAGCTATGCCACACTGGATTTATATCCCTACTCCCCTACAGCTAGTGCTGTTGAACTAGGGAAATTAATTGGCATCGCTTAGCCTCAGTGTAAAAGACATAAACATATCTGAATCATCCTGTTGTTGCGAGGATCCGTAGAGATAGCATACAGCCAGTAAGTTAAAATAGATGACTGGATAGGCAGGGGTCTCAGTTTTCCCTTTTCCCTACTGGGCAGCCACTCTCTCTTTTTCTTGCCCAAATGCGTGTTGCTCTTTCCACCTCCCTCTCTAAGCTAAAGCTTATCCTTGGATTGCTTCCTTCCGCAGTTCCATATTTCTCTTCTTCACCTGTGGAAATCCCAAGCTCCCTGAAAGATGTATCACCACAATCAGAATTGGCCTTTGCATGTTCTAGACTCTTACTGTCATTCATTGGCCCGCTCCAAGTTGTAGCCTTACACTTTAGTTGTGTGCCCGTCTGAACTCCCCACCTAATGATGAACTGCTTGGGATGGAGCCCACACCGGGGCCATGGGGATAACCCAGTGGAGTTGGAAGTGTTTCTCCTATTGTTTCCGTACAAGCCTTGTGTAGTTGTCAGGTTTCCAGAGTGATCTCATCATTGTATTTTTGTTTCCTTTTGTTTTTCTTTTCTTGTAACTACAACCATATGCAGAGGATTTCAGGTTCCTTTTCTGTAGCCCTAACGGCCATGCTGTGAATGTCTCCACTGATTATCCTGGGCACCTTGCAGGCAGCACGCCCAGGATGCATGTCTCGAGTCCTCCTGCTCCCCTCTCCGGCACAGTCTGCCCTCTGCACGTGTACTGTGTCGTGTCTTTGCTGACATAGTTCACCTGATTGCTGAAGCAGAAATGTAGAGGGCCTTTGTCCTGCATTCCTGTGTTGTCAGTGTTGAATGGGTCACCAGATCTCAACTCACCGGCCTCCCAGGTAGTTCCGAGTTCACATCCCCTCGTCCTGTGTTGACTGCCATTGCCTCGGCCCCCCTCACTTCATTCATTTTGCTGTAATGTCTTTCTCGTGAGTCTGCTCCTCCCCCTGCATCTTCTCGAATTCATGCTGTCCCTCTGCTTTGGTCATGCCCTACTCAGGTAAAAACCCTTTCGTGACTTCTTTCGTGCCAGGGATGAGAAAATTGACTTTATCTCATGAACCCACTGACCAGTTTCATAATAGCCGCTGCAAGGGCTGCTGTTGGTCCACACAGTCACTTTGTGACGCAGACGAGGTGGCCCAGAGCAGGCAGCCCAAGGGGTGCTGCTGCGTTGGAGCTCAGGCTCCTGCTGGGGACAGACAGGCTTTTGTGACTTCCTCGGTCCTTTGCACAGCTGCCTCCCCGGCTCCCCCAGGACTGTGCTTCCCCTTCCCCGGGGCGGCAGAGAACCACTGTGTCTCCTTGCTCAGGTGAGCTGGACCTGCTCCCCTGCTCCCCTGGAAGCCCAGATGCACAGCCTTACGTACGTGTGCAAGGCGTGGGGTGGGCGCTGCTTAAGGCTAAGTGGTTTTTTGTTTTTTTAAATCTATGTTTTAAACATTGTGTTTATCATGTACAAGATATTCTGAAACACAGACATTGTGGCATGGCTAAATTGGTATCCTGTGCCTCCTGTCACGGTACATATCTCTGTTTTGAACTCCTTTGTTTCCCTGGGCAGAAAGTGAATTTCATTAGAGCAGATACCATGTGTCATTTATCCTTGACCTCTGGGACTGTGGAATGTGCATTATGAATCCAGTTGTTCATTAGACTGAAATGAATAAGTACATAATTGAGACTGATGAGAGTACTTGGCCTTTTTTAAAATTTAAATTTGGCTGGTAGACATACCTGTGCTTCAAGGTAAAAAGACATGTGCAAGGAGTGCTTTGCAGAAAGTTGACATTGGCGAAGCAGGCTTTGTAGACACCGGAAATTTTTGAGCAGGGCAACGGCATGGTGAAAGTGGTATTTAAGGAAGATTGATTTGAAGGCAGCCTTTTATTATAGGTTTAAACTACCAGAGGCGGCAAGGACAGGTGGAGTGTTAGGGCCTGGGAGAGGGGGAGCAAGCATAGGAAGCCGTCTGAAGAAAGGTTTCCTGAGTCGCCGCACTTTCATTTCCACATCTGCTCAAGTGGGATGGGCTTGCTGGCGTGTTCCTGAAAATAAAATAGAACGCGAAGGTTATTTTTATTAAGAAAGAACATTCCTGTAAGACACCTAGGTGAGCCATTTTACATAATTGTCTAAGAGACGTATTCATTATGAATTATGTGGAAGGAGTGATTTTTTAGTTCAAGGCTTTTAAAAAAATAATTTGCATCTGCAGGATGAGGCTGCAATCGTCCAAAGTCAGTGGAAATTTTCGTTTTGGCACATTTTGAAATAATTGTTAATTATGAGGCAAGCACTCCAGCGTGGTCTGCATCCCGGTTTCACCACCTGGCTTCCCTACATCGCCATTGTAATTGTAGTTTTGTGGTTTATTCTCTCACTCCAGGGACATTTGCATTTTGTGTTTGGTGCATGTGACTGCGTTTCCTGGTTAAAGTTTATCTGCATTTGTTTGCGGCTGTGTAGCTCTGCACTGCTTTATTCTACACATTGGTCATTGCAAACTTCTTCATTTACAATTGCTGTTATTTTCTTTTCATTACAGGACTATGACTTATTGATTACAAAGGACTTCTCCAAATATTTTGCACTTTTGGTTGTGTATTATGGAGACCAAGGAAGAGAAGAAGGAACGGAAACAGAGTTACTTTGCTCGGTGAGCATTCATTTTGCAAACTTGCTTTAAAAAAAATTTGAAGGGACTTTGTCCTCTACTATTACTTGGCATTTTGTGTTTGGTGACTAGTCATAAACAAAGGTAGTAATCAGTAGATGTTAAACCTGTTTACATTGTCCTTTTAAGAATTAATATTAAAGGAGCAAGATTTGTTTCTTTTACTACCTTTGACAGTGCTCATGGGTGTTTAGAGAATCTAGCCAGCCCGCCCTTACTTCCGTTCAAGGTAGGTTTAGCAGCTTACCTTGAATTTTGAATCATAGGTGTTCAGCAGCCACTGTTCTGTAACTTAATTGTTTGAGTGATAACTAAAGCTGGGTGATGTATTTAAAGCCTATCACCCCTTGAGGGGTCCATTAACAAAAAGGGTTTTCATAGATATGGGAAAGAGCATGGGTGAAGTGACATCACTGGAATCAGTGTCACTGGTAAGACTTGAGCTTACCTGACACATACCCATTTCTTGTTATCTGAACGGAGGTAAGCCGGTATATGATTGGCGCTGTCTGCACATTTAAACATCTCTGTAGCAGGTGCCCAGTCATCATAATAAAAGGAATGCTGTGCCAAACACTTATGAATCATTGTGGTAGAGCGCTCTCACACTCAGAGGATATAGGCTGAGCGTGATCATCATGGTCTCCGAAACTGAAATTCTTAAGAAATGAATTGAGCCTCATTCTGTCCCCCACCTGCAGTCTATACTCATTAAAGATATATTTTCTGTTTTCTAAACATGAACCTTGGAACTAAAACCAAAGGTTTTTTTGGTCAGTGTATTTATCCGGATGCTAAGCTGGATTTTAAGTTGTGAAAGAAACAATTTGAGGATTTACTGTGTATAGATGCATTATTATTATTATTATTTTTATTCTCAAAATAAATCTGTGACACAGGTTACTTTATCCTCATTTTCCCAATGAGGTAGCTAAGCCTCAGAAAGTACTTTGTCCATTTTATGGGCTGTCGCCAAAGAGTGCAGCCCAGGTAGGCAGAGTGAACTAGTCATTGTCTTTGGAATGCAAGAGTTAAACTTCTTGTTGTTGTGAAATGTTTCCCACTCTTAGGACTAGGGAGAGTAGAAAGGTTAGAAAAGGAAGAAAACAGGTGTGTGGTAATGAGACATTTGAAAGATACGACATTTAAATCAAATAAGAACCACAAAATTTTTTGAGATCACTGTAGCTTCAATGTTGCAAGGAATATTACTTTACTGTGTATCCTTCCTTTACTTTCCTCCAGTAATAAAACCCCTTCATGCTGTAGTACAGTGTCACAGCTATGAAACTGATGCTGAAGTCACCAGCTCTCCTCGGATCTCAGCACTCAGTGTGTGTGTGCCTGTACATAGTTAGCTGTACGGAATGTTATCATGGGTACAGCTTTGTAGGGCCGATATCACAGATAAGACACAAAGCAGTTCCATATAACGATCCCATGTTGCTTCCCTTTTGTAGCTGTGCTCAGCTCCAGCTGCCTGCCGCTCCTGACCAGCATCAGTGTCTCCTCAATCTCTGTCATTCCTCAGTTCAGTAAATAAAATGAACCGGTAGAGTATGGAAGTGTGAGTCACTAGCTTTTCATACGCTGATTTCCTTGATGTCTACCCAAGCTCTTGCAGGTAGCAAGAGCTCATTCCTTTGTGTTACTCAACAGTGTTACAGGCATGCATCTTTTATAGCTTGATTCTTCCTCCGTGGAAGAATGTTAGGGTTGTTTCCAGTTTGGGCTATTAAAAAAACAAAGCTGCTTAGGATCATCATTGTGCAAGGCTTTATGGGAACATAAATTTTCATTTCTTCGGGATGAATGCCCAAGAGTGCCTTTGCTGGCTCCCGTGGTAAGCGTATGTTTCGTTTTGCAAAGAGCTGCTGTCCTCTTTTCCAGAATCCTTGTACCGCTTGGCATCTCCGTCAGTGAGGTACGAAAGATCTGCTTTTTCTGCCTTCTCACCAGCAGCTGGAGGTGTTACTTCTTTTGATTTCACTATTTTGATAAGTGTATAGTGATATATTACTGTCGTTCTAGTTTAAATTTAACAGCTAAGGATATTAAACATATTTTCATGTGTTCATTAGCAATCTGTGTATCTCCTCAGTGAAATCTCTTCATGCATGTTTTCCATTTCCCAACTGAATTTCTTCGTTTTCTTATGGTTGAGTTTTGAGAATTCTTTATAATTCTGGGTATTAGTGCTTTGTCAGATACGTGGTTTGCAAGTATTTTCTCCCCGCTTGTAGCCTGGTGTTGCATCCTCTTAACAGGGTCTTTCGCAGAACAGAAGTTTTTCAGTTTTGATGTGGTTCAATGTATCATTTCCTCCTTTTATGAATTTTGCTTTTAGTATCAAGTATGACATTTCTTTGCCTATCCCTAGGTTCCTAAACATTGTTCCCTGAGTTGTTTTCTAGTTTTATAGTATTTTGTTTATATTTAAGTCTGATCCATTTTGAGTTCATTTTTGTGCAAGATGTGAATGTAGGTCACAGTTCTTCATTTTTGTCTTTGACATACTGGAGATTGGACCCCCCCAGGAGTGATGCGCCACTGGGCTATGGTATAACTCAGCCCTATTTTTTATTTTGAGACAGGGTCTGGCTAGGTTGCCGAGGCTGGATTTGAACTTGTGGTAGCTGGGGTTATAGGAGTGCATCACTGAACCTGGTAGAACAAGGTCTGAGGGTCTCTCTCCCTCCTTCCCTTCCTCCTCTCCTCTCTTTCTCTTTCCCTCTCTTCTTCCTTCGTCTTTCTTTCTTTCTTTCTTTCTTTCTTTCTTTCTTTCTTTCTTTCTTT